GTATGTCAGTTAATTGATGATGATATATACTGTTGAAATGCAATTCCACTGGTCGGTCAGTAGGTACCTAGCTCATCAATCGCTCAATCTCTTAGGAGATATTGATGACTAGAGCTAGTCGTAGTTGATAATAGATCAATCTAATCTAGCCAGTTCATTTTAGCTTCAATTGACTAGTCCACAGAGCTGGTTAGATAATTCTCAGAAGATATGGGGGTGGCATAGATTGCTATCACGTCGTCTAGCGGCCTTCAAACGTCCGTATTCAAAGCAAATTCAACCTTGAAGATATCTAGATATTTATTGAGAATAGTAATATCAAATTAATCTAATAATTTTGTTGGTATTTGTATTGCTAGATTTAATTACATAAACATTTTGTCTTACTTGATTTTATCTGCTATTATAGGAAGCGTTTAACTTTCAATAATTCAAAATTAAACAAGAGCAAACGATTATTTATTTTGCATTAAATTTTACATAAATCTTACTCATCATTTAAACAACAATTGAAATCAAATTATTCTCATAATTATTTACTATAAACGTATGATATGCATTTGTAATATAAATTTATAAAGCCAGGAATAGCCACTGCATCAGTATGGTTAATGCGATTTGACCGGGCCCGTTATCTGTTTCTATTCCGGTTATATCAAGATGCTTTTAGATGCATTAGATTTTAAATAACACTATTCTTATATAGCCACGTTGAAAATGAGATTTATGCTAACGTACTTTAGTCGTATAATGCGGGGGTGTATTATGTTGAGGTATTTTTTTGTATCACCGTTTATCTCATGACGAATGGTAACATTAATGATGATCTCATGATATCGCATTTCATTGCAGGTATATCTTACTTATATCAATTGTAGTACAAGGTTTTGCATACGCATATTTTAGACGTGACCGCATCAAGACTATTAAATGCAAAGTTAATATTTCTTGATACAGTTAAGAATCGGTGTGTAATACTTGTGTGATACAAAAAATATGTCTTTGAGTAATGGAAGTTTTGGCTGGTTGCCATACTTATAGATATATTGTGTCTCATTCTAAGTGTAGCGGTGCTTTGGTCTGGAGAAAATATGACTAATAAGACGTCTTGCGCTAGATAAAGACATTTCGCGGAGAAGCGAAGATCATTTTTCGTTTGCTCAGAACATTTTAAGGCGAGCGTCTGACACGGAAGATCCATCATTGGCGGAGAATAAGCAAACAGACGTTAAGGAAACAGCATCTTTATTATCTAGAAAATAGGATGCTTAATCGTTTGAAAACTGGGTTATAATTATAAAACCTTTGTTTACACTGCATATTTCTTGCAGATTTTTAAATTTCATATTATTTATAACATTTATAATTTCCATTACAAGGCTCGTTTTCGTATCAGATAAATTAAGGGTAAAAATATTTTACGTAGAGCCTAAATCAGATCACACATTAATATGATTAATTTATTTCTCAATTACATAGTGAATTGTCATTAACAGTACACTTTTATTGTATTAATCATCGTATATTTATCACATTTCTGTAAATTAAAATTGCGATCAATATTCCGTTTATGAAGCAATGGCAATATCGTTTCGGGGCTCGGCTAGCGTGTCTAGTGAAAATTATTTAGTAATTTTTCATGTTAACATGGCCCTGTGTTATTTATATTATTTAACTGTATTCAAAATTAAATTAATATTAAAGATAAGCTTTTTATAAAGTTGGTTTATTGTTTAAGTTTCACGAGTAACAAATCCATCATTCATAATACTTTTCGTTTTCTATTTATTTAACGTTTGCTTTCCTTTCCTTTCTTATCTTTATCTTTTATAAATATTAAGTAGCGTTCATTATTGTTCGTAATAAGTCGTAATATTTGAATCGAAACAAAAAATCTTGTACAGAATTGTTATTATCCCTTAATAAACCGCAGTCAATATTTACTAAACAAATTTATTGGACATAAATTTTCTTCATACACCACCATACTTCCATTCTATGTATAAAAATCAGTCGTGAATGCAGAACAATATAAGGTCAATTTTCCCACGCAATTTATTAAACGATCGATAGGCTATCGGAAACTAGACAAGACAATCGGACCAATCAGCCTTGCGGTATAGAAATAGAACAAGAAGCCTTCCTACCAACCCCCGATGAACTTGACCTACATGTTCACGTTTGATAGAAGCAGCTTTAAAGGTGTTAGTGCATTGTAAGCGCGTTAAGAGAAACCCAAGTAAACAGTACGGCATCAATGAAAACGCAAATTCAATTTGTATTTCTTACTCTGCATTCAAATCGTTATATGAAATACTACTATTATAATTACGAAAGTTTGTGAGTGTGTGTGTATGTTTGTTACTTCTTCACGCTCAAACGGCTGAACCGATTTTGATAAAATTTTGTATACATGAAGCTGACGTCCAGGAATAACATATAGGCTACTTTACATCCCAGAAATCCCGAAAATCCCGGAAACCCACGGGTAAAACCGCGGGGTTCAGCCAGTACAATATAAACCTTTTTTGTGAAGGAGAAATTTGTTAAGAATAAGAAGAAATAACATAGTATATATAGTCAATATACAGAGCCATTGCTTTTCATTAGTACATGGCAACATTAACAAATATATACACCCTGTATAACCAAGTAACATAGATGGTTATTGCCCTATTTGCTGACGTCAGAACGCTGTGAACATTATCATTCATGGCACAGACATTAAAAAGACTTCGTATCGATTAGAGTTTGTTGAACCGGACTAAGCGCTTTATTAGAGCTTTGAATAGGACACCAATCAATTGTTAATGAACACGTAGCCTATCCATAGTTGGAGAAGTAAAAAAAATTATTGACCTCGACTATCATAATAGGTAATTAAATTAAAACTATTCTGTTATGTTCTGCTATAGCTTCTCCAAAAACAAGCTTCCAATTAGTACTCTAAAAATATGATTTAAATTTAGGATATATACAAAGGTACTTCCAGTAACATAAGCCATAGCCTAGATATATGTATACCATTATTAACGGCATCGCTAATGTTAAGTGCTCATAAAATTCTTCGGCGAATCTTGTGTAATGTCTTCACCATTATCGTTATCTTTAAACGTCTTGTATTCAAGAATTTATATTACATGAATGATATGGTAGTCTTCAGTTTGATTGCATTTAATTTACAGATCTCGAATAATCTAGATCTTTATAAAAATAAATCAAAAAAACATCCAGCCATTTTCGAATTACCAAAGAAAAACTCCCAAACACTTTTCAGTAATGATTACAGCCCGATGAATATTAATAACTATACCAAGAGATCCAAAACTTCAAACTTCTAACCCTTTACGAAATCTCTTAAAAGTTTTCGAATACCGTACACTAAAGTCGACCTGAGTCACAGATTATTTGAGTTGTCGCTAATTACTTTTTGATGAGCGACATGTGAGCTGATAACATTTACGTTAAGCCTACAATGTCTTCAAGGATAACTAAATATTTAATATTATAATAGGTTTGTTATAATTTCCGCATGTTCTGTCTTTGGAAGACGTAAATGATAATGGAAGCGAAGATAATTTTTCATTCATTTTATTATGGCGATGTTTGGGTCGGTGGAAATCAATAAATAAGCAGTGTCTATAGTGCCTGTATTTCTAACATTTTCCGCGCGCTTGTTCCTGTCATGATAACGTCACTAAGCCTATGGGAACAAAACTGTAACACTATGTACTATCAGAGCTCCATTCTATCTTTGATGGACGTTAGATGCTTTATGTAAGGAATTTTCAATAGAATATGAGTTTAAATTTATTTCATACTGAAATTATTTTTTACATACTCTAAGGACTTAAATAAATTAGAAGTTTATGTAACATGCCTAGATTAAAAGGTATTGATCGATTTGAACATTCTTAATAAAGGGTTTCACCTGAGTTATTAACTCCTTAGACCCATGGACCCATATCTCTGTCAAAATAAATTGATTAATACTAGGATAGCATACTTCAATTAAAACAGGAGACCATTTAATATAATATGAATGTTATGCTATAAAGGAATAAAGACTTGAAATTTACAAAACGTATGGACAAGTTAATAAATAACAAGTCTAGTTTTCGTAACATATCGATAGAAATTACTTTAGGTAACAAAGTTATGTTCTACTTAAAGAAAGTCACGCAACACACTGAGTAAACAAGTTCACGACTAACGACTTCTGATACAGTGTTTGAATATTTCACTTCGTAGAATTGACGTTGTGTTATGAAAATATACAGACTGAGTGTAAACTAAATGTGAGTTTCCTATCACTTTATTAAGTTATCAAAAAGTCATCTGTGAAAGATTGCATACTTTTGAAGGAGACGATTTTTCAGTGAAATTACATTTTTCCGAATGATTATTAAATTTTGTACGATAAAAAGTCTTATGAAAATATACTTTTCATTTATAGTTTTTAAATTTTATATAATATTTTCTCTACTATCTTATGATCGGTTAATGTACAATTATTTAGCAAGTATACGTACGGGTACATATGTATATTAATGATTTTTAATAATATTGAATATTTTGATTTAGTAAAGCTATTACCGTGTTTTCCTTTGAACTGTACGAATGCCGTTTATCAAGTTTGACATTTTACGAATACTTAGGGTGAATAAATTTACCAAACTAACCATAGACTTGATGGGGTCATTCGGAAATATTTATGAAAACGAGTCTGGTGCCAATAACAAAAGCTTATTGAACATCCAACTTGGAAACCCTCTGACGGATTCTAAAACTTATATTTTAGACTTGCAAATTTTCTACAACTTGATTGTGATGCCGATAATAGCCCCAACCCTTTAAAGAATCTACAACTACGATGTAAAAAATCTACAACTATCCTGTCTGCCTGTGATCACGGTTGCTGTAAAGTAGACGAAATGTCGGGAGTATGTAGGAGTAAGTAATACCTATATCGGAAAAATCTACAGGTAATTTGTACAAACCATCTGTGGGCGATGTGTACAGCTTCTTGCATAAGTCCTGTGGCCCGCCGAGCGCGTTGATCTTGGCTAGCCCCTCGGCCCCGCGAGATTCCATAAGCTCGCGCAGCTGCCGAAGGGTGACGCCATATTGCGCCGGCCGCCCTTCCACCGTAGCCATGGTGCCGGGCTAGCGGCCGCCGCCCGCACCACGCCCTTCCCTCTAGATCTGTAATAAAAGAACATCTTTAACAACGTGACATTGACGAAATATCATCACAGATACGCTTACAAAGTTCACTCGTGAAAAAAATCATTGCCAAAAAATCTAAAACAATCGAGAAATAGTTCTATGGGTTAAAATATTACAAAATTCATTATATATGGGATGTTAATAATGAAAAAAGAAATCTAGCGAAGTTAGAAACCTAATAGCATGGAAGTTGACTATGAGTGGAAAATGACTATATAATATTTATAATAATAACAGAAACAGTAATTAATCTCATCATTGATATAATAAATAGCATGTTGAATGGTCTTTACAAACGTTTTGTTAGAAATTTTTTTGCTATATGGCAGTCATTTTATTAACCTAGTATTCACAAGGACGGCAGCTATTCCTTCAATCCAATTAGAGCACGGTAATAAATTCACGAAAAGTGATCGTTCTACTTAGCTTGACTTTCATTAAATATTTCGGAACGCCCTCTAAGCACATTAAATCTAAGAATAAAAGAAAACAAATCACTTCAACTTCTTTGATGTAGTATAAAAAGTTTACGCGTTTTGGTCAAATAAACACGAGTACATACTGTTTTTCATGATTAAAAAATTTAGGATAACATACGAGGGTATTTAATTGAGGCATATTTTTAAAACATTTGTACACACCTCAGCTGTTAATGTTTTTTATGGCACAGTTATACTGACACACCGCTTCAACGCAGCATCATGCATATTTTAAAAAGGTGTTAATAAAACGCAGGCTCGTAAAAGGAACGTATTTTTGTTATTTTTTCAACCTAATTCTTATAATTTGTATATCCTATGTGTCCAAAAGAGGGTTATGCTAAGGATTTGTTACAATTTAATTGCGAGATTAGATAATTTTTAATTTAGTTGTTCTATATCATTTCAATTGCAATCAAATATTAAAAATAACATTTAATTCTATTAGACTGTAAATGTTATTTAAAGAAACAACAGAATTCATGGGACATCTGTTTGGCGAAACAAGCAATATTAAGGCAGAAAATGTGAAGTAGCTCATAATGTAAACACAAAATATATATAAAGGGAACTCCTGTGTGTTCCTACTTTATGGACACACACAAACGTTTTGAGAGGAAATTTGTGCTGTATTTGCAAATGCTAACCAGCCAGATGTAGACAATTCTAAGCCTTACATATAATGCAATAAAGTCCAAAATACGTGTATGTTGCTTTCACTGCTGGTACATTCAACCTGCCATTCCAAAATAAGACGGTCCAAATTAACTTTTATATCAAACCAAGCTCCTTTTAGCTTGGTATGAATCGTGAAGGGGTGATATTCCAGGATTAAAAGTATTATTCATATTTAATCCTATGAATTTATGGGATATCTTAAGAGGTTCCGACTGCGGAGCCGCTTTTATAAAATCCATTCATTCAGCAATCATATATACGAGTACGGCTTTTCATATCTTCAATACATTTGAATATTTCAATAATGATTTAACTTTGGTCATTATTTCCTCGCAATAATGGTTCCTTTTATTTGTTATGTTCAATAACGTAAAACGTCATTATAGCTACCAGATATCGGTTAATTGACATAAAAAATATCATTAAATTGAATGCTTCAAATCAAATATTTATAGTCGTTGTTAACTACGTGTTTGCCATTAAACGAACACCGGGGTGGAACGATCATCTCCCTTCTCCCACGACAGTGGTATCCGGGTTGAGTGTCGTTGAACGAACAGCAATTAGGTCGGTTGAGGGCCAATCCTTAATAGATTCCGCGCGCTTAGTACTCAAGAGTTCTAACCAGATTTAAGATTCCTAGTCAATTATCCAGTAATGAAAACTATATATATAACAAAAAGTTTTAGCTTCGCCAAAATAAATTGATATCAAAATGTTCACAGAAGATTATCTTAACATCTAATACTGTTTTATGTATAGCACAACTTCAAAAGGAGACTGTCTAGATCGATATTTTTATGAAGATTGTAAAATAAAATCCATCAAAATTTTTCATAATAATACATATAATGTAGTATATAAGAATAACATCAGAATGTATCAAAATTCGGTATATGGGTCAATAAATGTGTTTCAGCAAACTTGGCATGAACGGGAAAACAATCTCGATTGAAAATGTCCGAAATCAATGCGGATGTGAAGTTGCGTAGGTAATGGACTGATTGATGTTCAAACGTTACACTGAATTTGACATGTTATTTCACACAAGAATAATATTCAAAGAAAATTCAACCATAACTATATTATAATAGAACACATTAAATACATTATAAGGTATTTTAAATAACATTGTTACATACATTTGTTGTATTATAAATTTTATTGTTATTCTATAGTATAAAATGGACAGTTTGTTAGTACGTAGAAACGAGAACAATAAATCAATAGACAAAGTCAGTACATGATATCCAGAAATAAATCTGGAACGGTGACGCAACAGCCGAGGAACTCTTAAAACAAAGGTAAAATTCCGCTACAACGAGTACAGTTTACATTATCTTTATTGTTAGACATTTACACGTAAACCACAAATCAACGGATTCCAACAGCATTTATAAAACCAATTTATAAAAACCATTTTACTATTGTTATAAGAATAACACATCGGATATTCTGGATACTTGTGGTCGAACAGAACGCCCAACGTTTTGGTTATTTTTAACTTTTATATAACCGTATTTAGTGTCTTAATGTTGAATAGTATTCTAACTTTATTGATATCAATGGTCACGTTTATAATCTGCAGGTTCCCAAAAACTAATATTTTAGAAACTAGCTATTTACGAATTACGGTGTGATAAATTTCCCTAATCTCTTTTTACTTAAAACAGTAAGTACTTCACCTCACAGCTTAAAATTTAGGTCTCAAAATTCTTTTCCTATATCTATCTAATACCATAAGAGGTCCTTCATGAGATTTTTTTTAGAAGTTAATTGTGACCAATCTTTTTTATTCTCCAGTGACTTTGGTCTATATTAGTAATAAAAGTTGTCTTTTCAGACAAAATGTTTTGGATATGAATATTAATTGTGCTTTCTGGATGGCCTTAACCGCTGAAGCCTTCAATAGATGTGATGTACTATCGGATCGCGTGAGCAAGGCCTTTTATCGCCGGCCACACCTGGCCTTTTGCAATTTGTTGATATTAGCATCAACAAATTATATGACTGGCTCTAAATCTCTGTCATGTCATAATTTCACTTCTTGGTAGTTTATAAGATATATTGAATCCATTGGTTTTGTTAATATAGGCAGATCTTGAAAAGATATTTCAGGCTATATAGAATTAGATAATTAAGATATGTAGTACCAGGACATCATAGAATTAGAGTGATCAAGTATTCAAGACACGGTTGTTCAACGCTAATCACACTATCTGACCTACGGCGTTTGCCAGACAGGGATAGGCTCGGAACTAGCTTGAAATGTTTATATACTGAGCCGATGTGATTTGCTCTATGGGTTTAGGTAGTGGTAGTTAATTAAAGTTTGGTTATAATCCTAAATCCCATCCTCCGTTATGACCAGTGAATGTTTACAGTACAAAATTTCTTTACCGCATTCACTGACTATGGAAAGATATAGTTGTATAGAAAAATTGATTCAGAAATGAGATCTAGTTTTTCAAGCCTTTCATACCAGGTTACATAAAGTGTACCGCTAAAGCCATAACCCTATTATGAGATGAAAAAGTTCGTTAAAAGTTATACCCATCGCTTCAATGCGTTACTTGCTTAATTGGGTTCCATAATGCGAAAAAGTTTAATCCGAAAGCAAAGGAAAATCGATTAATCAACGGCCAACAAAAACTGTTAATTATATGATTCGCCATAAAACTTTCACTAAATAAGGGAATTTTAAACGCATTCACGGTTCACGTGAATGAAGGCTTTTTTATGGTAATGTATGCTATAGGGGCCATTTTTGATAAAATTGGTTTTTTAATGTAATGGTATAATTAAATATGTAAATTAATTAGATAAGCAAAGAGAAAGGGTTGGCGAAAAACCAACAAATGTCGCAATAAACGTTAAAGCATTTGCGATAAAGATGAATAATTAACGATAAATAAATAAATGTTTCCAAAGTATTTGAACCATTATATAAAACAACTTTTGTTTAACGTTTAGACATCGTTTTGTTAGGACTATGTACGGAGATCGACATCAGAGGTTTTATTGCAAAACATTTTGTCTTCCCTAGGGACATGTTCCAACGACCATTGGATTTGAAATTTATAGCTTCAAAATCTGTGTACACTGTTTTATATTTATGAGTGTTGGGAGACCATATTGACGTTATATTTTTTCTGCCAGCCTACTAATAGTTTACCCAATAACCGAGTTCAGCGAACCATCCATAAAATGTCGCTTAAAGCTTTGATGACTGTTTTTTTCTCATCCGCACCATTGTTTAGTCAAAGGCTTTTGTTGAAGCCAAAATGGTTGGAAAAGAACAATAAGCGTTTTCGTTGCACAAGTTCTAGGTCACTATAGTTCCGTGGCCATTGTGAGAAAGAGTTTTTTAAGTGACCCGTGAAAAGTTAAAGCATAATCGCTGTATTTGTGGGATAAAATGTTTGGAGCTTTGTAGCGACTATTATAATACAATTACGTAAACAGAAGCCGTGATTATTTTAACATATAAAATGACAGCATATTTCGAAATACCTTCCACAGTAGCCAAAGTTTGCGAATCGAATATTTTATTCATAGTGCCATTATCGACAGCATTTAGTATTCAGATCGGGTAACTGATTGTGGGACAGCATACTAGAGAGAAATTGTGAGCTGTGTGTTCAATAAAAAATATATTTGCCTGACTACACAAGTGTAACGAGGAGTTAAGTATCAAAAACATATTAGAAAACTAATGCTTAATCAAATAAACCTTTTAAAATTGCTTTACATTGTAGTTGCTACCCGTCACTTGCATAAACATTTTTCAAAGATTGACAGCTATTTGGAAATCAAATATTTTTCCTACATAGGTACACATGTAAAAATGTTTCGTTAGGCATGAAAAACTTAATATATTTCGTCAAAGTCACAGTTATCTTTATATAAAACGATAAATACCACGACATACATCCGTGTTAAATAATATAATAATTTAAAAAATATTAAGTATCTACAAGTCTTCCTATATATTATCAGATTTGATTCCTGATAGCGTTCTAAGTTATATAATCTTAAAACCATCGTCAAACAAGTGCAATGCTGATATATTTTTTATTTGCTCTTCCTCCGAGCACTGATACCATCGTCCTTGTTGGTGTGACAATTTGATAAGATATTTAAACAGATCAAAATTCTGATAACTAATTATTTTACATGACATTCACTGCTTTTTGATAAAAAAATGATATATACGAAAGATGTTCTGATAATTTTTTATCAAATATATAACACAGTACAGTTACCCAAATTCCAAGAACATAACTATTTACTGATTTAAAAACAAGAACAAAAAATTATATTCTCAATGTTTCACGATGTTTCAAGCAGTGACAGAATTTTTTTTTAGTAAAACCCGAATAAAATTTTAGTATGAATCAGAAAAATATTTATTCATAGTTAAAGCGAATGGAAAATAGTAAAAGAAATTACAAAGTGTCGCCCTACGAAAATTTACGATACATTTAATCTAAAATCTAGATCATGAACCAATACAGATATTTCGTGGAATCCTCTAGCTATGATATTGTATTAGGGTATTTATGATGGAAGTGGAGTGGGGTGTAAAAGATTTATGTGCCTTTCCGTACTAACATTTAGGTTACATACAAGGCCGTAAACTTTAGGTAATAGAGGTATTACTATCGAACGGTATTGACTTTCGGGAATTTCCGTGGCTTATGTTGACTGTTGTAAGAATTGTAGCATGTTTATGGAAATCCGTACTAATATAACGAGACGAACGGACTGTTTGTTTTAACTACTTTACTATTAGACATATTTATTCTATATGATTATAATATTAATATTAGTAAATTGAAAAATTACGTAATAAAAAGGAATTATTAAAAACGTTACTCTCTTATAATAAACCAAAAAGCATTTAATTTTGTACACGAGTGAAACCTTGCTAAACTAAGAATCAGTATAGTGCGGCATAACTATGAATCGGTATTATGCGGCACAAATACCAAGTGCCAGTGCCGTGGTATACAAAAAGTATGATATCTTGTACTCACCACGAGTGCGTGTCGCACCCGTCTTTCCGCCGCGGCGTATGGCTCCCTATTATGCTGCAGGTGGCGACCTTGAACAAAAAAAAAGGAAATTAATTAAAGTGTCAATAATGACATATCATCTATATGTTAAAATCTAATTATATACTAAACTAGTTACTGCCCGCGACTTCGCTTTAATTTCGGTATTAGTAATATATGGAGATATATGTAGCTGACCTAGTGAACTCTATTCTGCCATAGAGGCCGTAAATAACCAGATATTGGAGCTTATTAAGTATTTTTTCTTTTTCAATTTTCGATCAAACAGAATTAAATATCCTATGTCCGTCCTCCTGATCCTAAGATATCTTCCTATTAATTTTCAACCATATCCCTACAGCCATTCTTAAGTTACAAAAAATGTATCTAACACAACAACTTTCTTTAATATATATAGATATTAGAATAGGAATAATATAGTTAAATTTCTATACATTTTAAACTGAATGATTTCCATAATACTGTAGTAGTTAGTTAACCAAAAGACTATTCCGACCGTTCAAAGGAAGTGGTACTGTTACCGGACACAATTCTAACTACTGGTATTTAACTGGAATACAAATTATGTTCTTGATTGACTTGGGATATGAACTTTAATCCTATGTGGATAGAGTTTACTTTACAATTAAACCCCTGATTGAGTGGGAAGTTATAGGCTAAAATGTATACGACATTTGGCATATACAGTTAGTTTAAACTTGAATCAATTTAAAATTAATTTAAAGACGTACTTGATAAAAAAAATTAATAATAGAAATAAAACGTTATAAAAGTTTCCATTAAATGATTAAGATAAAGTTTTACAACGTCAACTATAGTACAATTAATTTGAATTAATAAATTAATTACAACTATCGAAGAATACAGAAAATAAACACGATACATTCATTATAGAAAAATAATTTAAACCGAATATTAAAAGAAGAAAAACGCACAAATTAAATAAAATAAAACAATTACCTAATAGATTTCAAATCTATGTATGAAATTCACAAAATATTAATGAAGTAGACAGTTTTCTTCGAAGACCGCTACAACACTGAATTAATTGTTCACATTAAAATATCATCTGATATGACATATTTCCTCATGGCATTGAATAAAAAAAAACACCAAATAAACTAAACAAACACGCAAAGAACCGTAGCTTTTGTTATCATCTGCATTAACGAAATGTACAGCAGCATTTTAAAGGCAGTTTAAATAAGTTATAATGCGGCATTTTAGATACCAAGAGATTATATTTTTATCTTACGTAGATAAAATTTCATGACGATTTTATATACCTATCAGATAAATAATATACTGTAATATATAGAGTAAGTTTTAAGTAAATATTGTTTTAAGTTTAGAGAAAAATATAATGAACATTAGTCACACACGATGTTCTACAAACGACTGCTATACCAGCGAAAGATAGAAAAATTACCCGACATTTGGCAACGAGAGTTACATTACCATCACAAGTAGGAAATAAAACATGAGAATTGCAAAAAAAAATTGCAAGCAAAAGTACTTAAATTACGTAATATATGGCTAATGAAAATTTCTATGACAAATCCGTGAAACTATTTTATAATGGCAGTTGGCTTTGATCTCGAACGATCTTTTGATACATTAAAACAGATAAAATTGTGATTAGTCGAACTTATTCTTAGACTTCGAGGCGGATGTTAAAACAATTGTAGAACAGATATGTTACGAATCAATAGGAATGAAACATAAAAACAATTTTCATACAAAAAAAGTATTTCGTCTCTTCCAATTATTATGAATTAACTTATGTATGTAAATTAAATGTATTATACTGTAAAATCTTTATACAAATGTATGATACAGAATAATGATATTTTATAAGGAAAAAAAATCAAATGAAACATAACCCTCATCTTTGAAGTCGGTTAAGTGTATGTATAACTGAGTATAGCTATTATAAAATACGTGTTCTGACACACAATGAATCAGTTAATTTTTATAGTAGCCGATGATGTCATTTCTAGTTTTTAATGCATTAAGTTGTTATATAGTCGTATTTGTCCGTTTTTAACCATTTTATTAACATTAATGTGACATTTTTTATTCAAATAACCAATCAATTCTTTTAAGGTAGTATATACGTACTAGTATTATATTCATGTAAAACTTTAGATTCATTTAAAACAATATTGAATTATCGAAACCGTATCAGTTATGTAATCCTAAAGGGGTGGTGACTTAATAATACAGTTAGTCTTTTTACCATGCGAGCAATACTATATTCTTTAAGTTGTATTATGTAACAGAATAAAATGAAAATCACTGAGTTAATTGGATTTTTAAAGACTTAGTATCACGTCGACCTTAGCTGAACACGGAAAATTATACGTGTATAATATATATGCTCTCTTTAAGGGTACATGTTGGAATAGAATCTACGATCTGACCTTCGAAGTCAAGACATAGGATCCTGGTAGTGACATATTCGGGTGAGTCACATTACCAAAACCCGCCTCTCTTGGCTCGATGTATAATTATTACATGTCTGGAATAAGGCGACGACTGGGCGGCGGCGGTGCCTGCGACATTTCTGATGAAAACTGGAGCATAATATATCAAATAAAATGTATATGAAAAATACAGTTGTACCGACACGCCCTTCTGTTAAACGTGACAACTTCGTCGGAACTGTTGACAGTTACCAACGAACTCCTATTAAATATTCCAATTTTATTAAATATTTATTTTACTTCCAATAAATAAAGAGTCTTTATAGAGAAAATTAAAGAAATGTTTCAGTACATTTCGTGATTATGTAAGATTCCTTTGAATACGAAACCTCGTTTGGGAACTAAATTCATGTTGAAAAAAACATCTAAGAGCAAGCAATATACCATGACTATTAAGTTGGTTAATTTCAAAGGATTTGAAGAATTCTTACTTCACCAAAGAAGTAGAAATATAGGTGATAGTTACCTGATGAATAGTATAGCAATAGTAAGGCAAGAGTGTGAGGACGGAAAAAACGTGATGATCCCTGGAACGTCTCCTATCTCCATGTCACTGTAAACTAGCACGAAGTCAACTACAGCATAGCTGATGACCACGACTTGTTCCTCTCACGCATTAATTTGCTCACAGAACACATCAGGCACTTGAGTCATAATTGCTTGTGAATTTTCGCGCGACACCGGGGCTACGCACATTATATTATGAAATACTAACGGAGACACGTGCTATCGCGGCAGAGTGGGACGGAATCACTGAACGTCCTTGGCCAGGGGTGAGCGGGGCGCCTGCGGCATCAGACGTTTCAATCATCCCCCGGCGGAGAGAGACGGGGATATGGAACTACCGGAGGTTGGAGAGAGATGCGCGGTATCGTGCTATTGACCGGCCAGAAGACCACGCCCACCCGGGCAAGAGGGGCGCCAATGCTCCAAGTGAAAATCGAACACCGGCCCGGGCAGACGGCGCTCGGTTGCTGCATCAGCCTCACACCAAACCCACTGCACTTCCTACATCTAACCCTTAATGGTCACTAGTGACATCTGAACCTATGATTATGGTCTATCCATTTAAAACTACTCAACTAAACCCATTCCATAATACTATTTTATTTGCCTTTTAAATGTCAAAGAGCTTTCGTCAATCTCACTAATAAAACTGAATATATGGCCTCAGTTTTTATATAGAAAGTATCCAGAAAATATACTTAAATAAAGAATCCGATAGCGTTATCATAAAATTCAGATCTTTGGACTTCTGAACCCTTAAGTACAAATTTCCATTATATGTATAACTAAATACTACCATTTTTAACGTTAAACGTTATGTATAAGTCATCAGATATTCCTTTACCCATGACATGTGAATGGAAAACTCTTTTTCTGTCGTTATCAAATTTACAATACAAAATATTACTAAGGATATAGTACAATTTCATTTGTTACATAACTATGTATGAACTTATCGTAATAAAATTTGATAATAAAGCATTTTGGTCATCAAAAAGGTGATATGACCAATATTTTTTCTTTTTCAATAAAAAAATATATTGTACGTTATGGAATCTATGAAAGATATAAATGAAAAATATCGAGGTCGATTAAGATAATAGTTGTGACCCAATTATTATATGAATCGGATTAAACATTCTCAAAGAGGAAAAATTATATTCAATTGCATTGATGATAATAATAAAATATTTAACAATGCTAAATTATTAATATTATTTTTATGTAAATAAATCGAAATTATGATAAAAACACGCGAATTATTTCTATCGTTTTCATTAAATATGGACACGGTTAAATTACATTACTTACTAATTTGGCTTTATAATTTATGTAAAGATAAGTGATATTACATATTATACAAAATAGGTTAGTCAAGTAGTGTAAACCAACTACGAGTAGCGTCTGAATGGGTCGTGACTTTCTTTTTTTATATAGTATTTTTTATTACTACAACAATTAATTCAAAGAAATTATGTTACTTCACACTGAACAAAGTAAGGAATAAACTGAAAAAAACCTATATGTACTGAATTAATTGTCAAAAAGCGCTTAAATAAGTATTCTATCGAAATAACTGAGGGAGACGAAGAATATATAAAAAGAGAGAAAAAGAATACCTCTTCCGTTTTCTAGATAAGTTCGGACATCTTTTCAAAGTATCCGTCATTTATCATGTAAGCCTTAACAGCCAACCGAAAAAAACTCCCTCGAGGTACAGAGTTTATGCCATTTCATTTGTAGCGAGTTATAAGGGCTCGTTGGCATTTTTACCAGCGGTTAGGGATGTTTTTTAATACAGTTTTTTACATGTTCCGATACATCGATATCGATGATTTAGTTATTATCTTATCTTTAATGTTTACGCTTTAATATGGATATAAAAATACTGCCTTCATTAGGGTTGTTTCTTAGTAATATTATATTACAAACAATTAAATTACATAAACAAATATTACGTCAATTTTAATAGATAATGTTTGTATGAAAAATTATATATAGGATATGAAATATATATACAATAAAAAAAATAACTTCAGTAATTAAATGACATAGAATAACCAATTAAAAATATACCATCCTTGCAAGTAATATTCGTTTCAAATTATATGAAGATTGACAACATAATCTACCTCTATTCTATATGACATCATAATATAAATTCCTTCATTTGCAAACCGTTCTCAATATAGTAGTTTATTGCATTTATTACCAATGTAAAATAAATATTTAATAAACATGTTCTGATAAGTTGAGCATATATGTACTGTGTGCTAAGTCTTACGCTAGTGGCATTCATCAGTCAGCTATACCTATATAATTCCATTTGGTGATTCACTCTATTAGATAATTGAATTTACAGCAATGAATAGGACAAAAATATTCCTATATTCTCTATACAGAAGTAGGGCATAGCAATGATAGTATTTTTTTAAACTGTCTTCATATACCGATTACTTTTTACTATATAGGTACATATATACCTATTACAATAATGAATCTATGCTAAGATATTTATATAAAACGTAAACAAATATTTTTACGAATAAATTTTGTTCAGTAATAGTCATCCGATAATCAATACATATATTTATATATATAAAAGTATTTACTGATCGGTGTGTTTATATCAAAAACTAATTAAAAGTGTGTAGATCAAATCATTAATTCACAGCATGGTCTTAGGTAAACGTTATTAAACACAGCTAGGGCTCTGAAACAATGTTATCGCGAACAATGCCTGACAAGGTCTCCGCTGATTGTCTTAACTGAGAAACTGCTATTATTCAAGGAATTTTATTTATTACGAGGACGTGGCGTTTTAATATCAAATATCTTTGACATTTCTTTAACGATCTCGGTTAAAAACTTATAATTGTGAATAATTTCCTAGTATCCCTACTAATATTATAAATGCGAAAGTAACTCTGTCTGTCTGTCTGTTACGCTTTCACGCCTAAATCATTGAACTGATTTTAATGAAATTTAGTACAGAGATAGAGTTGACCTTGAGAAAGAACATAGGATAGTTTTTATCCCAGACTTTTGGAAGGTTCTCTTGGAAACGCGATATAACCGAATTCCACGCGGGCGAAGCTGCGGACTGAAAGCTAGTAATTAATATATCTTACGTTCCATGAAGTAACGATATTTTTAATTCTCTTCTTGTCCCACGTATAAGCCATACATGTGTCAAATATTTCAATTATAGTCATAAGTCCGTGTAAATATATGTCACCTATAATCTAAAGGCGTCATCGCGTTAAGTGGCTAACAATATAAGTCCCCCTAACTGGATGTGAATTGTAGTTTATTGAAATGTATGACACTGACTCGCACTAACATCAAATAGAGTTCACAATAGAAATGATTCCCTTTTGTCCTCAAGTACTCTTTAAATATCTAAGCACTATTCCATATTGACAATAATATAATTCGTATAATATAATATATGAATTTTTAATTAGATAACAAACTAGTAACTTTTAACGTAAAACGGGCTCATTTTAATTAAGGACATTTTTTTTAAATATTTCGCACAATCCTTTACCCTTAGATAGGACTACAAAATGATATTAAACTTTTAAATATAGGAATTAAATGATTTTAGAGGGGATTGAAATAAATACTGCTTACTTTGATATGTAAAAATTTTGTTATAATTTGTAATTAGGTTTAAATATATTAGTTTACGTGATTCTAATGCTGAACCTGTTTTTGTATGAAGATTTCATAGAAATTATATAAATAAAATCATTCTTATTATATATGTTTTATATGATTTGAATAGCATCAGTATATATTTATATTGACACTAGCTTTGAGCCCTTACCTTCGCCCGCATGGAGTTCAGTTATATCGCGTTTCCAAGAGAACCTTTCAAAAATCTGGAATAAAAACTATCCTATGTTCTTTCTCAAGGCCAACTCTATCTCTGTACTATATTTCATTAAAATCAGTTCAGTAGTTTAGGTGTGAAAGCGTAACAGACAGACAGACAGAGTTACTTTATTTACAATATTAGTAGGGATTAAAATACAACGTTATATAGTTTCTATTATATATTTATCTTATGAACAGATTTTAAACTTTTCATCTCTCGTTTTTTTTTTCTAAATCATCGCTCAAATTTCTTCGTCGGTAAAACAACTTACACAATACCGTTGTTTGGACAGTCTGATGTAAAACACTGTTTAACGCGAAATGTTTAATCTTTTCAACGGCTTGATTGCAACAGTTTTAAAATAACTTTGAAATTAACAGAACGTTTTAAAAAATATTGAGATTATTTTTAATAAAATATACAAGACTTTGCCTTCTCAAAAGTATACTGAAATCGAGAGAAAAATGTTAGGTTGCATTATAAAAATTCCAATTGCTAAGTCAATATCTGGAATTAATGAGATGTATTGTGTTTTTAGCCGACTGCTGCTGGAGGGTTATTTTCTTTAAGAGCTCACAAATCAATTACCTTTAAAACTTTTCTACTGATGAAGACTATGAGATCGTTTTCAAAATCTGGATAATCTTATTATGTCAATATATCTTTCTCCTTGAAACATTTCTTTTGCTCAATTTTCATCACAATTGCGGAAATGTTAGTAGTTTTTTTTTATACTGAAAGCACCTCAATAACTTACTTTAAAATAAGTGAATAATAAGATCAGATTCAACAATAATCATCAATCAATCTATCAATTATTTCAATCAATGACCATTGATCTCCTTACAAGACGTTTAGCAATTGATAGCTCTGGTTACCTTAGATGCATAGTAATAAGGAATTAGAATAAAGATTTATTTCTGTATATATTTTATGTACATACATTAATTGTTAATAAAATCATTATTACGTACCTATATCAAGTTGAGATATTTAGTAGGTATACCTATTTATATATTTTGATTGAAAGAAAACCCGTTTTATATACATATGTTATTTCTGTATATTAAAAACGACGTCATTTTATTCATTATTCCGCCCCTTAAGATAAAAACAGACAGACATATTAAATATTTATGTATCTTAATGTATAAATTGCTTTGATGTTTGAATTTTCTTCCATGTTGATTATTTTTGGAACATTTAAAAAACACGTGGCCGGTTCAATGACCTGTATACTTTCGAGTACCGTCAGATTTTTTAAAGCGTTATATCTTTGCTATATTAACATTTTCAAATATATTTACAATTTATATAGAAATTAAAAAAATACATATTTTTAAATAAATTAAACTTTAATCGAGATATCAAACTATAATTGGAATACATCCAAGATTTATCACCGGATTGTATAAAACAAAAGTTTTTTTCAGGAGTATAATTATTTATTATGGAGCCAAAAAACTTTCGCTTGGATACAGACTAATCAATTTATGAAATTTATCCAAAATATTTAATATATTTATATATAGGTTTAATTTTAACCTGTTACGACCCCCCGAATGGACCATTGACCCACGTTATACAGTC